CAGCCCCCGCTTGAAATGCAGTCCCACCTCAGCCAGCAAGGGAAGCTTACCTGGAGAGTCAAGGTAGGGGCATCGTGCTATTAAGTAAGTGCGACGTCTTGATGACTGCTGTAAACATCGGTTATCACTTACCACTAACAAGTAATGTGTTATTGAGCGACGGTTCAATTAACCTAACTAGTGAATATTAAGTTTTTATAGCCTTAAGATTATACATTGACATCGTGTATCCTGACTTTTCCATGAACAAAAAATAAAAATAATTTAATATTTAACTTAATTATATAATTAATAATTATGCCATATCAGTAATAAAGCTGTTGAAATAGATTTCATGCCCTGTAATCTTACAGCGTTTACTTCAGCAGGAGCATGTGGCGGCTGACCATGGCAAAGAGCTGACAACGGTAGAAGACATAGGTTCTGCAAGCTGCAGACCTCCGCTGTCGACCCTGCAGCTGCCGACTACCGTAGCAACCAGAGCTCAGGGCATCCTACGAACACCCTGCGTCTCCATCACAACCGACGTTGGTGTGGCCTCGATTGAGAGAGGCAACTACAGCGGCAACAGTGTGTGTACGAGCGAGAGCCCTACAGCTTTAATGCGTGAGGTTGGCTTGCCACAATGCCCGCAGATGAACTGCGACACCTGGGCGAAATCTGCACTAGGCAGAGTGCCATTGAGCAAAGCTGAGGTGCCCTGAAGGGTAGACAAACGTATTATATATACCTGTACATAGCTCACCACGATGATAGGTTGCCAGCATTGTTATATGGCACATTTAAGAAAAATTTCATAGCTGCTAGTAGCCAGTATTAATTTAGCCAAGTCCATTGGTTTGTATGGTAACTGTTGTGTGCAGCAGCCATGCAGTAAGAGCATCGCACCTCAGCTGTATCTCATTCCACGTCGTCAGGCCAGACTGCAGGTCTGACTCGGCTACAGCCAGCTGGAAGCGATAATCGCTCAAGCCCTGCTCGAAACGGTTGATGTCAGCGGCGAGACTGTCGCGTCCCTTCTCCGTCGTCCTGGGTGCCAGCGTCTCACTCTCAGACTTAACAACATCTAGCTTGGCATTGCCATCTACGATCTTCTCTGTGAGTTCCTGTGGAAGTCATAATAATACAACACACTGAGATGTACGTATAGAACATATGAGAACTGACTTAACTTCACATTCATAATGGGTCCTACGAACATAACATCAATACGCTAACTCTGTTGCGTGGTTTTCAGGATAAAAGCGAGGAATCAGTGCAGTTCCAGGAACTCGTACAAACCTGAACCGTGTCGAATCTCGTCTGCAGCTGATCTGTCGTGTCGCAGATGTCAACAGCTGCAGTCAGTGCGGCCTTGCCTTCATCCAGCCAGGTGGTCAGCTGCTTGCAACCCTGCAGGTACTGCTGGTGCTCAGAGTGCCGTTGCTGCGCTGCATGAACCAGCTGCTCTGCGGCTGCGCACAACTGTGCGTACCGCGCGACGACGGCGGTGAAGTCGGCTGTCTGCTCCGTGGGCAACTCAGCGGCCTGGGCTTGCAGGGAGTCTACCATCTGCTGGTAGCCAACGACGTCTCTCTGCAGGCTCTGTAAATTGCCAGATGTCAGACGGTTAGAAGCTTACAGCAAGGTGCTATTTGCAGTAAATATCGTCCAAGCCAACGTGAAAGAAATTACTTTATTTTCTTTCACTTGTTGAAATGTGGTCAAGTAAATGGGTAGGAAAGCATGCTATCAGAGGAATTTCATATATTTCTGCCCAAAATATTTGTTGTGGTGCGTTTTATTCATGCCATATTGATTATGGTAAGAACACAAACCGAAATGAATTTCATAATAATGTGATATCAATATACCTCTGCTTCATCGCAGTGCCATATGATCTCCTCAAGGTCAACCTCATCCTTGCGAAGGTCATTGAGTCTTGTCTCCATGTTGCTAATCCAGTCGATGACCTTGTTTGTGTTGACACTGAATCCTGCCCACTGTAGCAGACCCTGCTCTAGAGCTAGGACTGATACTGTGACTTAGCAAGTGAGAGCCAGTCGACGGTGTCGCTGTAGGAATCTCTGAACTGCTCGTGTTCCACAACGTACACTTCCCACGTCTCAACAAGGGCCTGCCAACAATGCAACATGCGCGTCAGCCAACAAGAGTCTAGACTGGAGACTGGATACCTCCCAATCCACACGAATTAACCCACTCCGGATGATGCTCAGTTGATACATTAGAGACGAGTGTAAGCAAGAATACAGTAATACTCTGTGGAACGTTTCTGATCACAGAGCCAGGCACTCCTACTATAAGAAGACCAACAAGCACAATCATGTTCTACACCAAAACCGTTCCCTGCATATTTCGCAGCCGTAACGTGATCTGCACTTTGTAATGTGAGAGTGACACAGCCATACCCAAGTTTAATCTTAACAATGACATGCCTGAATTAACCCACTCTCAATGATGTTCAGCTAACGCTTTCAAGACGAGTGCAAACAAGAAAATAGTAAAACTCCATAGGCACAGCCATACCCAAGCTTAAAGGTGGATTAGCACATGTTAATAAATAAAGTTTATGTAAGATGGCGCCACCTTCTCACAATTGCTACCCACAGCCATAACACGCCTGACTGTCCACTCACCTGTGTGCGGTTGACCAGGTGTCTGTACTGACCGTCCAGCTCTGGTACAGCGGTCAGCTGACCTTCGTCTGACCTCTTCTTGGCCAGCCGTAGAGACATGCTGACAAGCTGGTTGAACATCACCTCATGCTCCTGCAAATCCTCGGCAACAGCCTGCGACAGTAAGCGCAAGAAATCATTAGAACAATTAAAAAACGCTGATAGCAATTAGGCATCTTACGCCTCCACGCTTCAGGTCTCCTGCAATACAGGATGGGAATAGATGGAACGATAGCAACTCGAACGTGTAAAACATTCCTGAATAAGACACCTTTATATTATGTACCTGATTCGCCTTGAGCATGTAAGCTAATGATGTACCCTGTGCATATTCTTAAACAAAATGAATTGCTACCCATGAAGAGGATAACTCATCAGATGCATGCTTAGTACTTCAACATAGACATAGCTGTTCATAAAATACCCGTGAACAAGCACAATGGAATTTTGAGTATGTTTCTGTGTTTGCGTAAGCAACTGGATGGAACTAATGTGGCGGGAGATGGTAAATTATGCAATCAGGATACTTTTTGGTCACCCATAACATGACGGATTAGATGAAGTAGACATGCTACCTTGCACTTATCGAGATGAGTTCGCTTGCTGATCAAGTCAGGCTCAAGGTTGTCTAGCTTATCCAGCTTAGCTTGTGTGTCACTGACCCACGTCTTCAGCTGGGAGATGCTGACTTCCACCTTCTCCCACTCAAGCTCCTGTGTCTCCAAACGCACCTACAATGTGATACGAGGCAGATGCATCATGTTCTGTTACTGTAAACAATGCGGCATTAGGTAATCAGGCAGTTTGACTACATTATAGACAGCACGTCCATTCACGTTACTAACTGCATGGCATAACTTTCTTTGTTATTCTCGCCAAGTAAAATAATCTCCTTGAGTAGTACGTGGCGACCTTGTGGTGACCCGTGGCGCCATCTACAATCTAGATGCAAAGACTCACGATGGCTTTCATGACGTCGTTCCTAAGTTCGTCGCAGCTGAGTGCGAGGTGTTCGAGGTTGGAGCGCATTGTCTGCGCACCATCCGTGCTGGTGTGTGGTGTCACAGTGTCGCACATCTCCGCTGCCTGCTTCACCCTACTGTTGCCCTCAGACATCGTCTTCTGAAGCTCCTGTGGCGTGCAAGCACAACAATGGAATCAGAATATACAGCAATCGGCACCGACCGGGAATCCATTACTGCATATGAAATTAATAAATCAATTTGATATTGTTTGGATGTGAAGTGATTGTAATAATTAACAGATACGATTTTATGCTGTATTCGCTCACATGTTTTTTACAGTTCCTCACCGTCTAGTTGTGATATATTTGTTGTACCCTGACTTACGCCTAACAGTACTGTAATACAATCTACATTGGCTGAAGGGAGATGCCTTAGGACATTTATTAAGTTGGCGCTAGTTTATATGTGGCGGGACACACAAATTGGGGGATCTTTGGCAAAAAATTAATCTGGCTTTTACTCTAGCAGCTTAGAATTTTTTCTTAATATGTGGCAATTAACAATCAGCACTTATTCAATCCGTGGTAGTATGTATATTTGATAATTTTTAGTTGTGGTCTACCTTCAGGCACTCGGGCTTTTGGGCTTTCAATGTGCAGCTCTTGTAGCGGGAAAGGATTTGCGCAGGGATGTCCCAGTTTCTCTTGCGGGGACATTGTGCAAGGTCAAACCTTCACCGCAGTAAAGTGTTAAGACTTATCTTTCCTTCGTACCACCACTGTTCCTTGTTTGTTTTCTCGTTCCACCGGAGGGCCACAACCACGTTCGGTTCATGGGAGACGAGGGGTGTCGCTAGGGATGGCCCTGGAGGCTGGGCTTTACGGTAGTCGGGGCCCACTGCAGGCGGTTCAGACACGGGAGGTCTGCAGTGTTGGGGCGGAACTTGTTTCTTTTACCGGTTGGTCAGGGCTCTTTTTTTGCCATGGTTCAGGCACCGTCCTGGCTGGGGAAGTTAACGTAGATTACAGCGCATAAAAATTATTTCCGCGTTTATTATGATTTGCATAAAAATTATTATTATAATTAATTATATTAAAAAATTATTTTTTTTATTATTTGGTTTCATTGGAAAAGGTCAGGATAGCGTGGTCCGATGTATATTTAAGGTATAAAAAAAGCTTATATTTTACTAGTAGGGTAATTGGACTCGGCTTGCAATAACGACAATTTACTGTTGTGGTAAAATGATTACCATGGTTTTACCACAGGTTCTTAAGGGGGGACGGGACGCACTTTAACTGTTATGAGCACAATGCCCTTACCTTGAATTTCTTTCCAGGTACGCATTCCATTGCTTGCTTGAGGTGGGGATGCATTTTCACAAAGCGGGCCTGTATTGGGGGTTTAACTGTCGTGTGGAGCAGCAAGCCAACTGCAGTAAAGAGGCAAATCGCAACCGTCAACTGTAATTTCTATTCCACGTCGTTCAGGCCCAGACTTGAGGGGTCTGAACTTCGGCTTACAGCCAGCTTGGAAAAGCGATAATCCGCTCAAAAAAGGCCCTTGCTGCGAAAAACGGTTGATTGTCAGCGGCGGGGAACTGTTTCGGTTTTCCCTTCTGCGTTCGTCCTGGGGTGCCAGCGTCTCACTCTCAGGACTTAAGACAAATTCTAGTTTGGCATTGCCATCTACGATCTTCTCTGGAGGTTCCTGTGGAAAGTTCATTAATTAATTTTTACAACCACTGAGATGTACGGTATAAAGAAATATGAGGGGAACTGACTTAACTTCACATTCATTAATTGGGCGTCTACGAACATTAAAATCAATAGCTAGCTTCGTTGTTGCGTGGTTTCAGGGGTAAAAACGCGGGAGAGAATAGTTTTTTGCAGTTTCCAGGACTCGTTTACAAAACCGTGAACCGTTGTCGAATCTCGTCTTGGCAGTGATCTCTGTCGTGGTCGCCAGATTGTTCAAACAGCTGCAGTGCAGTGGCGGGCCCTTTGCCCTTTCAATTTCCAGGGCCAAAGTGGTTCAGCTGGACTTGGAACCCCCTGCTGGTACTGTGCCGTGCGTCAGAAGGTGCGTTTGCTGCGGGCTGCATGGAACCAGCTTGTCTGCGGGCTTGCGCACAAACTGTGCGCGTTTACGGCGGCCGACGACAGGCAGTGGAAGTCAAGCTGGTGTTTGGATCTGAGGGCGCACAAACTTCAACGCCTTGGGGCTTGCCAGGGGGAGTCTTACCCATCTGTGGTAAAGCCAACAAGGTTTCTCTTCGCAGGGCTCTGTAAAAAAATTGCCAGAATTGTCAGACGGTTTAAAGAAGGGGCTTTAACAGCAAGGTTGCTATTTGCAGTTTAAATATCGTCCAAGACAAAAACGTGAAAAGAAATTTACTTTATTTTCTTTCACTTGTTGAACATGTGGGGTCAAGGTAAAATGGGGGTAGAAAGCATGCTATCTGAAGGGAATTTCTTATGATTTCTGCCCAAATTCCATTTGTTGTGGTTGTTTTTTGCGTTTTATTCATGGCACATATTGATTATGGTAGGAACAAAACCGAAAATGGATTTTTTCTATTAATTGTTGATAATTCAATATACCTCTGCTTCAATGGCAGTTCGCAATATGATCTCCTCAAGGTTCAACCTGCTGCTTGCGAAGGTTTTCATTTTGAAGTCTTGGTCTCCATCTGTTTTGTAATCCAGTCGGATGACCCTTGGTTTTTGTTGTTGGGGACCCCAATGGAAATCTGCCCACTTGTAGCGGAAAACCCTTTGCTCTAAGAAGCACCTGCACAACATAAGTAAATTAGTAATTTTGCACGGCCCAGCACACACCAGATTAAGTTCATTATTTGGGGAAAATCTCTTTGGGCCTGTTTAGTCAATTCTGGAAAGTTGGGATTTCCCAAAAAAACATTATTTAGGCAGAGGATGGTGAGGGGGGGAGTGACGGCCAGAACATGAAAGGAGAAGAGGGGGAGTGCGCAAGCGAGGGGTGGGGCGAGAGAGATTAAGGGGGACTGCTTACCAATGGTAAAAAAAAAACAAAGTCACCTTTTTCTCAGTTATGGTGCTTCCAGGGTTAAGTAGCGGGAACCACCATTGTCTTTAGCTCGCTAGTTTTTCTTTTTCTGCGATGAAATCTCCTGGTCCATTCATGTGGGAAGTTGTATTCGTGATGACCTTGTCACCCTGGACTGGACGGTTGTCGTTAAGACTGCATTCCTGAAGGGGAGGCGCTTATTCCTGCCTCTTAAAGGCCTGAGGGAAAAAAGATCCGTAAAGTATGAGACTGAGTATACATAGCTATCACCGTAGCAGAACTGCAAACAACTAACCTTCTTTCTAACTGCAGCCGTGATTTACTTCAAGGTAAGTTAAAGTTTAATTCAAGTTTAAGTCACGAATAAATATAATTGGGCGACACTTCACAACAGACCGACAGTCTTAACAACAGACAAAGTAAATCAACTGCAAACTACCCCGTAACAAAATCCTGTTAAATCCTGTAATCTGTAAAGTATCATGTATCTTCATGAAAATAAAGTTTATCTCAGTTGGATCCATAATAAGTTATAATTACTTACAACGACGAAATTTTCGTCCATCTCTCTGATAGACTTCCTCCGGTCTGATGTTTCGTCATTGTAAGTAATTATAACTTATTATGGATATAACTGAGATACACTTTATTTTTATGTGAACTATAAAGTCCGATGAAACTATTCAATTATCCTGTATCTTGTACGTGACAGCAGGCAACGACGAGTCCAAACCTACCTCAACTACTGACAACTTCTCCTGTAGCGTGTCCTTGCCTCCCGTGACATCCTTGCTCTTAGCGAGCTGATCTACTGCTGACTGCAGTGCTTGCCGGCACGCAGCGAACGTCACGTGGTAGGCATCGTGTTCGTCTGCTCGCGTCTCACTCGTCTGCAGCAGCTGCTGGGCTGTGTCCGTCAGCTTCTCATAATGAGTGCTGGCGCGAGTCATCTACCAAACAAGAGTCACATTTACATTTAATTGTTTGCAGGTAATCCACATTCTCAACGAAAACAATAGAGCATTGAAACAGTCCTATTTAGCATTCTTAGTCCTGCATTATTACATCCTATTTAGTCCTATTTTATTTCCTATTTAGTAGAGAATCAACATCTAGTGAGTATAATGGATCAAGGGAGATTTTGAAATTGTTAACAAGACAATGATGTATTTCTTTGGATTTAGTTAATATACCAGGGCTGAGCAATTCATAGTTAATATTGAACAGAAATGAATCGTTCTCCAAAATATTACCAGTTTGCAAGATTTACATAATTGTTACACTGCATCAGATTCACAGCAGAAACAGAAGTCAGTGAGGAGGGTACATAATTGAGAGAAGTGAAAAGTGAGAACATATACCTGTGTCATAACCGTTCGTTCTTCGGGGAAGGCGGCTGCAGCATTCTTAACTTCAGCCAATTGTTCAGCTTGTTGCTCGATTTCGTTTATCGCATCGTGCAGTGTTGTTACCAGCTGTTTCTTTTCCTCCAGCGTGGAACGCAACTCGCCCCACTTGCTGGCATTCAATTCCTGGCTTGCCAACCACTGACTGAATGCCTCGTATATTGTGGTAAAGGTAACCCACTGCTGTTTTCTCAATTCTGGAACGCCACATCAATTACAAATAATCATCAGCGCCACAATGTACGCCTTATACGGTAACACAAGACCTTTAGAATGACCTCTACATGCTGTTAAAATATTTACAGCAGAGATTGAATGTTTTTCTAAAACCGTTACAAATTAAATAAAAATATATGGGCAGGGTGAACACACCCAAATAGAAGACCTCTAATGATACCGGTGATGGCATCATAATTACACACTGAGACCAGCATAATTCAACAGTTTTACACATGTATGTATAAATCTCTGATGAAGCAACCATCTGTCTATGGCTAGCTATGAATCGTCACTCACCTAGCGTATGTGTAACCTCAGTAGCAGTGTTGCTCAGCTCCGTGTACTTGTCTTTTAGACGTGACATCTCCGACTTGACGGCCTCCTGCCCGTGTGATGCCGTGTTGGGCAGAACCTTATCTGCTGCCTTGTCAACCTCTTGTAGAGTGGCACCTCCACTCTCCACAGATGCGCACAGCTCCTAGGTATTATGTGAAACACATCGTAATTAACTTATGTACTACCATGGTAATTTTATGGTAATTTAATTATTAAAATTTTACTTGTGAAAATATCATGATGAAGTGCATCCTATCAGAATTATCGTCAATAGACTGATGCTCCCATTGTGATATGTATTTAATGTCGTGCAATTATTCGTTTCCAAAATTCCTGATTATACAAAAATTCAGTAATATTATTCATCACATGCAAAGTAACACTAAATTCATAGCTGTTCTTCTGCCACCTCACCTTTAGTTTGTCAAGTGATTCCTGCACTCCATTCAGGCCTGGTGCTGGATGCTCACAGGCGACTATGTGGTCATGCATGTCTGACATCCACAGCTCACAGTTGTGTCTGCAGGTGGTATACTGCACGTGATCCTCCACTATATCCATGCAGCATTGCTCGTGATTCTACAAACACCAACGACAAACCATATTGCTTTGCCATTCCTCGCACTGCTACTGCAAACATATGTGTGCGTGCGTTCATGGGCATTATAACCAAAGCAAAAAAATCTTCAATTAAACCATTCTTCTCTCTCATGTGTATATGAGATTGATGACAGAAAGCTTTTAACTACTAAGTTACTACAAAAACGAGTGTTCGGCATCTATATACACGTAGCTCAATGTACTATATTCTCTATCTTAAACGTAACCACCTTAGGCAGTTGTTATTTCAGAAATATTTCTAAAAATTTATGCTTGTGGCATTGCTTCAAGCTCACTTTGTGAAACTGAAATGAAAACAAAGATACAACTAAATTTGGCGCAACTCGCTTCCGCTCAGGGCCAAACGCAATGATCTCACCTGGCATTTCTGCACTACCGCGGAATATTTGTCCATCAGTGTGCTGGCTAGATCAGACAACTGTTCACTGCTAGCCTGCATCACTTGTTCCACGTAGTCTTCTGCTATCGCCTTCTCTTCTGACAGCACTGTCTCCTGGATGCTCTATATAAACAAAGCAGTGTCACGTACTGACTCATCTGCTCACAGATATCGCACACACAATAAAAATATCTTCAAAAAATCTTTGAACAAATGGATATTTGACTTCACCTTGACGTTGTGTAGAGCTTTGCGTTTGCTGTCCAGAGTGTCCTTCGATTCTGATGCTGTGATCAGAGTCTTTTCCATCTCTTGCAGCCACTGCAGTAGCTGTCTGCCCTTGTCCTCCAATGATTTCAGGAAGGACTGCTGGCTATCTAGTGAGGTCTGCACACGCACACACGTAGATGAAGCCAGTTACAAAGATAATGTTGCAAAGATATATTTCCTGACACTCTTAGCATATAAAAGACAGAGACCTTGTACTTATATTCACAGTTTGCCCGTATCACACCCAGAACTTTAATATACCAATTTTCTATATTTATGAATTGCGTCTGATTACCGATCTACGTACATGTCATTTAACACGTTCAACGCTGCCTTGATAACAATGGATCTATCCCTCTGTGCTGAGATTTTTGCATATTCTACTATGTTTTACCTGTAATACCCTTGTCTACCCATTCTACGCGGGCCTGTCTAAGCAAGTTTCACATGATAACTGTCTATATTAAATATCACCAATAGTCAAACCTGAATATATGCATCACCCAACTGAAGTGATAAAAGTCTCCCTTATAGACACGCATACTGTTTTATAGCGTTGTCCAGCAACAGACGTTTCAGTGCATCTAGATTTCGTAGCGACCTACCTTGACACTAGCAATGTCAATAGTCAGTTCATCCACTGCTTGCTGGAGTGCATGTACTTCCTCTCTGATAACATCACGTCCGTAGAGGGCTGTCTTTGACAGGACTGGCTGGCTGGCTTGAGTAGCAGCCCCTACCAGCTTGTTGCCTTCCTCCAAGCTGCTTTCCAGGGTCTGCAGCAAACAGAAGCACAAGAAAATGAGGGTGGAACACAACTGCCTGCTGTTGGATGTGTAATCTAGCATAGTTTGATTTCCTTAAACATTGAGTTTGTTTGTTACTAGCTAGTCTACGCAATCGTAGTGTTGTCGATGTAACAACACCACTGCTACTCACAGTGGCTTAATCGTTTATGCCCGGTAACACCTTGTTCTTGCTAGGTGGTGCCTAGATGCTAGACGATTATTAATTGATTCAATTAAGTCAATAATGCAACATCGTGCATACATTGTACGGAACTCAAGGCCGTTCTCACTTGCGTGACCGTTCTTTATTAATTATTTCCCGCATTTATTTCCCTCGCATTCTACGTCGCAATATGGAACTGTGCTTTCACAATACTCCACTAGCGGACTTACCTGCAAGGCGTCGACTGCCACCTGCAGTGACTGCGTGTCCTGAGGGGCAGAGTCTCTTAGCTCGGCTGCTGTGGCCTGGGCCGTTGTCAGCCAACTGCTAGCAAGCTGCCACCGCTGAGTGTAGGTTTCATGGTCAACCACGTACATCTGCCACTGAGCAATGGCATCCTGTAATATTCGCCCAACAATCAGTTAAACTTTTCGTTTAAAATCTGGTAAAATCTGACAACTTCAGTCAGCTTTGAGAAAGCTTCCTGATAGGAGGGGAAACGTCAGCAGTGCGTATTGAATCAACACGGCTGAGTAAAAATTAACCAAGATAGATCTACGAGTTAAACTGCTTACTATGCTTGATCTATCTCGATTAGTAGTAAAAGTATCTAGAGGTAAGTAGTACAGCAAGAACTACTAGTAATATAGAGCAATACGTACCAGGAGTGAAGCAAGAAGAGTGGTCATATTAAGTTTACTATATATTCATATTGTTTAATTACAATAGAATATACACGTGACTATTTATCTAGGATTTAAAATCGAAAAGCAGTGGATATAATGCATTGAGATGACACGTGCATTCATCTTCAAAATTGTTCATTATTATTATAAATAATAATTATTTTATATTTAAAACTTTGTTTCAAACATCAAAGAATCTCACGGGAATCGTGACGTTTGCGAGATGATCTAGTTGCATGCTCGGCTGAGCCGCTTGTTCCTTAGTCGCATCATTTCCAATTTCGTCAGCTGTTGCAGTGAGTTTCTCCACCTCTGGGTGCTGGCTCATCACCAAACCCTGAAGTTCCTGTATATTCATAGCAGATGTTTCAAACGTTCTTTACAAGCTTCTGTTTAACAGCTTCATGTAACTCTATATATAAATTATTGCAATGACAATAGGTCCATAATTTTATTACTTTGCTGTAGACCTTTGAACACTCAAGTACATGAAACAATTGAGGTTTAATGCAGCGATTAACGTAAGAATTTCTCTATTCGAGTTGCTAAAGTCGTTGATCGCATTGCAATGACGTTAATAAGAGGTATGCATACCTGCAGTTGCTCGAGGACTGTGCGTTTTTCCTCTACAGTAGATACGAGATCAAAGTTGGCCAGCTTCTGCTCATAATCTTTTATGGTTGCTGTTAGCTTCTTGTAAAGCTCTGTGAACACTGACACCTGGCCCAGTCTTCCCTGCAGAGCAAATTACAGATTGTGCGTTTTACGCGTGTCTGTTGCCTTTGGAATAACGATGTCACATTGCAGGTATTGTTTAGCAAAATGCAGTCAAACCAATAACCATATCATAAAAATGTATGTGCTTGCTATTTTAATTTTGTATTATCATTAGGAATAACGTTCCAAGTAAGAGTAAAGTTACAGTACATAATACTGCCATTAGAGGTATAGTTGCATGAACCTACCGTGACACTCGCTTGAGTCTCAGTGACTTGGAGCCAAAGTGAATTCCACTTGGTTCTGAGCAGAACCACATCCTGTTTGATTACTTCTTGACCTTCGACACTCGTATTTGCCAGCACTTGGTCAGCATAGGTCATGGCCTGGGACAGCTTGACCTCGCCTTCTGGCTTAGTGGCTACGATATCCTGTTCAGAAGGAAGGTGTACTGGTTTACTCTGGTTCAAGTTCAATATACCTTAGAAATTGGTTCATCGGAGACACACTAAAATATAAATCTATAACTTCTAAAACTTTTATAGAACATTAACATGTATTATCATGCCCATATTGATGCAGTAATAATTGACCATATTACTCTTAATGGGTGGTGTTGCAAACACACTAACACAGAAAAGTCTAATAATTTTAAATTAATTAACAGTGAAGTCCAATCCCTCAAGTTACTAAATCACAACTTACGTTGACTTTTTCCACCAAGCTGTGCAGTTTTGCCTTGTCACGTGGCGCCCCCTGGCATGTGTCCAGCGTGGCCTGTGTGTTTGCGATCCACTGTAGCACGGTCTGGTACGTATCTGAGAATGACCGGTGGCTATTCACCGCCTCGTCGGCTTTCTCCTGGGCAACCTGTGCATCAGAGTAAGAACCGATGTAATAATTGACAAATATGAATGCAAGTTATCTTCTGGTAAAGTTTAATACTGGTATTATGCTGTGATGTTATAGGAACAATAACAATATCTTCATCCCACACAGAAGTGTTTGTTATGTTTTTGTTTAATATAGGAAATGATATATGTATATATTATGATACATATATTTATACATTATATATAATGAGTCTATCGCTCAATAAATGTGTTATTTTCACAAAATCACACCTATATTGGTTGTTTTATTAGAGGCAGAGATAGTTAGATCAAGTGTGGTGTTTAGTACACACACTAACCTTTAAATGGTGTTTTGTCATTTTGCATTATATAGTGCTATGTGCCCACACTCACACGAACAGACACAGAACAGAGAGTAAACAACAATTTTAAGTAGCACACCTTGCAGCTGGCATGCAGATTTTCATACAGCATGCTGCACGTATCTGCCTGCACGAGGGAGGCATCGTCCGCAGATACCATGTCCCTGATCGACTTCACAGCTTTGTCGACTGTGTTCTTATAGCTGAAAACTTCTGCTAACACGCTCTGTAACAGATTACACACAGTGACCGTGAATTCGTGGCTATAGGTTCCTGCTATCAATATCATCGGTTTCTTTATCCACTCAAGAAAAGATTGGAACCGGTATAATTTTGGATGGCTGAACGGAAATACGGAGAAAGAACGAAATTTTATTTTATTTAGATTTTACACTCGCACGTGCAACTGCGTACCTTGACAGCCTCCTGCGTTTCCTGTTTCTCCTGCAACGTGGCGCTAGGATTGTCGACTGCGCGCAGGTTAGACTCGGTAGCTTGTAGCCACGTGAGTACTATAGCTAACTGACTCTCTGACTGCTCCAGCTGACCCACCAACTCCCTAAGCCTGCAGCAAACACACGACAGGTGCATAATCATAACTTTCCACAAATGTCCGTGAATAGTATCCATCATAATCGACGAAATATAGACTGTTAGAGAACGTTTACACTTAGGGCAGCGTGTAGGGAAATCAGTGAGTTCATATATAAATGACCAATGAATGTCGAGAAGTTACGGCATGAGGGGACATCTCATACCTCTGCAGTGTGGACTCCAGGTCCCTAAGGACAGCTTCCCATTGTGCTTTTAGTGAATCGATTTCCTCACGTATCATCTGTCTGCCTGCTTCTCCAGTCGATGGGTAGACTGACTCTGCCTTACTAGTGATTTCAGCGAGTCTATGCATCTCTGGATCGGTCTTTGACAGTGTTTCCTGAGGAATTCAATTGAGACATAATATAACCTGATGATGTGGGGAACAAGATGATGTAGTCAATCAACAAACATTACAGCTTGACACGGACGATGGAATGGTTTTCGAAAATAAAATGTTTAACACTGACACCTGCAAGCACAAGCTCGTTTTTGTAGAACGTTTTGAAATGCTTAAGCTGCCAAAATCAGCCTAAATTCCAGTGTGATATTAGCCAATAATTCATGACATGGCTAGTCTGCTGAGGCTCTCGACTGATTATGTACCTGTATTTTGATAATGTCCTTCTCCACAGTGTGTCTATCAGCCGTCGTGTGTGACACGACAGACGTGTGGGTTTCTATACACACAGCGAGTGCTGGATACGCTTCCGCAAGTGCCGTCACGTACGCAGTGTGGTCAGTAACGTCCTGCTCGCATCTCTTAACCAATTCCTACCAGGAAAAAAGGTCTTGTTAAAGTATTAAGTGAAGATAGGACAAGACAGATACAGTGACTAGGTAGAACAAAGCAGACTGGAGAGAACCGTATTGATACAATACAATGGCAAAAATAGCGTGAAGAAGGAATAACACACGCACTTTCAAAATTCTATACGCAATTCCTATAGTATCGTGATATCGTAAGATATCGTTTACATATAACGTAACTATCTTACATGAATCCTCAGCAGAATTAATGAGAGAAACAACACGAGTACCTGAACCTGGTCGTGAGCTTCACAGTGACGTGCTCTTAAGTTGGTCATGTCGTTCACAAGGTTGATGCTTTCTCCACCAAACGCGAGCACTGCCTGCTGCTGCTCCTCCAGGACTTCTCCCTCGGGAAGCATGGCCTCCGACGCTGCTTGCATCGCCTAGGCAACAGGCGTAGATGAAAAGTCAGAATTATGGTTACAGTTCGAACATATTTGCAGTAGATCGACCCAGCAATTTGTATCAAAAATAAACATTTCCCATCAATTGCAGACATAGTGCAAACGTATAAATGTAACTAATCATTGAACCGATACCATTAAAACTGCATGCAGTCTTAGTAATTGAGTCATGACTCAATAGAGTTAGGCTTGGAATTGTTTAATGGTGACATAATTACATGAGATCTAAAACCAGATCGCCAAGCAAAACTGTGCCGATAATGTGATAATAATGTAATGATTAGAATATGAGCTCGACATAGTCAAGGCAATTTCAAAATTACTGGAAAAAGGAACTTATATTATAAGGTATAAATATTATTAATTAGAGATTATTACTCATTTCATACATTATGGAATACATGAAGTTAGATGCCAACAATGCAATACACTAGTCGAGATTATACAGTATTACACAGTAGAAAGAGAGTTGAGAAAGATAGGAGGTTAGAGTAGACGGTGTTACTACAGACTTATAGTAGGAATTAAAAGAATTGGTATCACTAAACATGAGACCAACGAATATCAAACTGAATCATCAGAGACGTATATCAAATTTAGAAAGATGACAATTTACCATATTAGTAGTATCAGATCATCGTATTAGTATTAGTACGATAATAAATCATTAGCAAGATATCAATTATGTTACGAAGATGACAGGCATTTAGAAACATCCTTCTAACTACGGTTATTCCAGCTGCTTCTACAGACGGATAAACAAATCTGCACATAAGTGACAGTGAACACATTCTTACTTGTACAACGCCGTCAGCTGACGCACTTAGCTCTGTTAGTGCATTCTGGTGTTGCTCAACATCTTGTGCCGTTTCCTAATAAGTACCACGTGCAAAATATTCATCACAAAACCAACGAAATCATAAAGTCAAACGATATTTAAAAAAAGTAATAAACGCAAAATTTCAATACAAATTACATTCATATGGTGAAATAACGTTGACATTGCAAAGTAAATGAAAAAACTGACGTGCATCACCTACCTCAGCATAAACACACACATACAAAACGAGCATATACATCAGTCACATGTGAATAAATAAATTTAAACGAGTGCAACGTACTTACTGCAACAGTGTACCCGAACCACAGGCAGGAAATACTGATTACATAACGTATTCGCGCACAACAGTAGCCTGGCATCGTCAGACACATAACCCGACTTACCGTGAAGGATCGGAACTGCTGCTCTTTCTCCTCGATTGTGTTCTTCAGCTCATAAGACTTAAGCTTGGCCTCGGTGTCGATGACCCAGGCCAGCAGCAGCCGGTACTGGTCATCGTACTGCTTCCACTGGTGCAGGCAGCTCTGCAGGTTGTCCTTACACAGATGCAGCAGCACAGAGTACGACTCGAACCTGCCAGCAAGCAGTACATCCATCAGGAATGCCGCACAGCCAGAGAAGGAAAACGATGTGGAACACACAGACAGGGTTGATGGCAGAGCAGAAGGGGTGAAGACGATGGCAGAGTAGGGTAGTGTATCAACTAACCGCATGGCTAGCAGAAATTTCTGCAATGAAAACTCGAGAATGTTCTGCATATTCGGTTTGTTGTGTACCTGTGCTTGAGGGAGTCGTAGTGCTGGCGGATGAGCTGCTTCCCTGGAAGCGACGTATTCACCAGCGTTTCCTCACAGTTATGCAGACAGGCAGCCAGCTCTTTCTCCCCCGTTGCCACCTTCTCTGCTATGAGTTCCTGCGGTAACGTATCATACATTCGTCAGTAACGAATCGTACATTCGTCACAATTCCTTACATATTCCACCTCGAAAATACTCTGCTGGGATACATTTACTTGATATTATCCACAGTACTGCACTCATAAACAGTTAGTTGCCCATATTTACAGCAGATTAATATACATATCTTTACAGTTAACTGCGGTACTGGAATGTTACTCATGCTATTCATTCCAGACCAGATAGAAAACGAGATGACCAAAA